AATTCCCTAAATAACTTTGATTTAATATTAAGAGATGAAACAGTTTTAATTGCCGCTTAGTTATCAATAAAAATATTAACCTTAAGCCTTTCGCGCTAATATGATTCACAAATAACTCACTTTCATCCTTAAGTTCTATTTTAGCTGCAGGTAATAATTATGAGGGGGTGTTCACGATTTTGTGTAATAAGCTTCGCAACCAGTTAAAGTAATAATAGTACAAAGCAGCAATAAAAAAATATATTTTAAGTGCATATTTTTTGTTGTTATCTGTATGTAGTGTTACCATGTTACTAGTTTACCTATCGTAACGCAAGATCGTGAATAGCCGTTTATAATTTTTGAAATCAACACTTTATGCAAAATTTAATGAATATAATATTGATCACAACTTCTTGCTGTGGTTTTCAATTTTTTTGTTTGAAATAAAAATAAAATTAAGGTTTAAAAAAAAATTTAGAAATATATATAATTAAGACTTATAAAAGCATGAGATCAAGATTTTCATTGATGTGACTTATTTAATTTTGATTTTTATTCCCTACTGACAATATTGACAGAATTTGAATTATACGAGTATTTTAACATAAAAATGTCTTCAAATTACTTACCTGACATTTTCGTATGTACTTATTTTCAATACTTGCCATTCAAGGAATACAAAGTGTAAAATGCTTTTAATTTTCTCACAATTTTGTTACCACATATTGACCAATACCAATACCAATATAGCCAAACCAATTCCAGTAACAAGTGCTACCATATGGTACATCTATAAATGAAATTTCAGTTCTTCCATTTTAAGGTAAACTGTCAAGCTGTTAAAAGAAAACGTTAGCTGCATGACTAATCCCTGATGGAAAACACTTTAAACTGACAGCAACAACCAAGCACACAGATCCTTCTTGTGTAAAGGACGCTATGTTGGCAATGTTGCCTGACGCGAGAGTGTTATTGCTCCTTAATATATCAGTGCAATGCAACAATTGCAACAACATATAACCCAGAAATTCATAGTTATAGTCGTCCATGAGCATGTTGCCTCAGCACTTCACCCACTTAAAAATACTTCTGAGTTTTTGAGCTGATGTTATCCGTATAACTTCAAAACCACAATTAACACAGGAACAAACGTAAACAAATGCAAACTTACATGTGCTGTTAGAGCGGATATACTAGAAAGCAGCTGGAAGGACCGTAGTTCCGGTGCAAATACAAAAGCACACAATAGACGTCGAAACTTTTGCACACCACAAAGCGGACCACCGTTAACGGTTAAGCTTTATTTATTTGCCGCAATAAATTATTCTTAACTAATGAAAATTTTCAACTAGCTTGCTGCAGCGAG